TTTTGCCCAGCTGGCACATTTATTGGCATTAAACACAAGACCCTTCCCTTTCCAGCACCAGGAATCCACACCCAAAGGGTGTCCTTCTGCCCCATTTCTGCAAAAACTCTCGGGCCTTAGCAGTAGCCTGAGCTGCCCCCAGGGCTGTGAGCTGCTGAATCTTCTGGCTCATCATTTCCATGACAGCCTGTTTCATGGTGTGCTTCTCCTGGAGAGCTGGTTGGATTTTCTCCGTCTGCTTGGTTAGAAAATCTATCTTCCTCTTGAAGAAGTCCTTGGCATCCTCAGCTGTCTTCTCTACATAGTACCCAGTTCCCACATCGATGAGCACATGCTCCACATCATGCAGCTTCCCAGGGACATACATCCTCGTTGCTCTTGTTCAGCACGTTCAGACAGTCCTTGGCTTCCACATACTTGGTCTGTACCACTTTGTGCTGGGCAATGGACTTGGACAAGAACTCCGCTTCCTGGTCTAGCTGGTTTTTGAGCATTTCTAGCTGCAGCAGATTCAGCTCCGTGATGTTAATCGATTGCGCCATGTTGAGAAGGAGGACTAATGAAAAGCTGCAATACTTCTTTTATAACATGTATATACCTTGGCTTGAGTGTTATCTGTCTATAGTTTGATGATAGCTTCTTGAGGATAGGGGCTTTGTCTTATTCTTTTGGGGCCCCAGTGCTTAGAATAATGTCTTATGTAACGTTCTACAAACATTTGGTGGCCAGGTGTGGTGGCTCACGCCTGTAATTCCAACACTTTGAGAGGTTGAGGCAGTAAGATCACTTGAGCTCAGAAGTTTGAGACCAACCTGGGCAACATAGTGAGACCCCAACTCTATTTTCTCTCTTCTCTTCTCGAGATAGTTTCACTCTAGTCCTCAGGCTAGAGTGCAGTGGTGCAATCTCAGCTTACTGCAACCTCCGCCTTCCAGGTTCAAGCGATTCTCATGTCTCAGCCTCCCCTGAGTACCTGCCACCATGCCTGGCTAATTTTTGGTTTTTGTTGCTTTTTATTTTTCTGAGATGGAGTCTCACTGTCACCCAAGCTAGAGTCCAGTGGCACTATGTCAGCTCACTGCAAACACTGTCTACTGGGTTCAAGCAATTCTCCTGCCTCAGCCTCCAGAGTAGCTTGGATTACGGGTGCCTACCACTCCCAGTTAATTTTTTTTTTTTTTTT